TTTCTGTTACATGATACTGGCTGTAACACATAAGCAAGCAAAAAGGAGCGAAACCACCCCAGTTCTCTCCTGCACCACCCCTAAACTTAAAAGCTAAGCTGAAAGGCTACTGTGTGCAAAGCCCAGCTACAGTAACGATCCCTAAACCTTGGTTAGTTCATTCTGAAACACCCAGGCGGACTTATTTGTTAAATCACACTAAAACCAGATTTTAAAGATTTGACTCCACAAGACACTGCATCTTAAAAACAACTTTCGTCTAACCTGACCTGGAATGGGGATTTGTTTTTCATAACAAATGTGTACTTCAACATTTTCCATAATTTTTCGTATTTCTTCTCGTAAAAGAAATGAAGACAAAGCAACAACATTTCAAACCACACCCATTCCTTCTTATTTCTATAATTCTACCCCCGGAGAAAAAAGTAGAAGAGTTTCTTTCTCTTTATTGTCTAAACAAAGCAGTACATACTTAAACTTACTGTAAAGACAAAACTTCAAAAATAAATTTATTGTATATTTACAGCCTTTACTTTCACACAGGCTGCTGTGTGAGCTAACTTACATAATGGCATTTCGGATGTGCAAAGACCAAGCCGTGTTGTTTGTAGTTTGGAGTAAGGACAACACACCAAACTGAAAACAACTCTGTCACCTTCATTCCTGTTCTTTAGCTTCAAATTTAAAACCAAAACCAACACAAACAGAAAATGCCTTAAAAGGTTTACAGTTTCTTTGTTTTATCTGCTTCTCAGTACAACAAATTCATATGACAACCCTGGCCTCTGGATATTGCATTGCAGCTTTGCAAGCATTCTTTATCAAAAGTGTTTAACAGCGCTGTGCTACATCCATCAGGATATTTTTGATAACACATGACATGTCACTTCTTCATTTTAATCAGCAATCATGAGAATCACAGACTGCGAGTCTGTCTCATTGCACATGTAATTCTTACACTTATTTATGGAGGAAAACCACCTTAAGCCTGACCTCAGATTTGCCTGAATTGCCCTAATCTTAACTACGTCTACATACTAGCTTAGCAAAAGGATTTAGATGATTATTTTTAGCTAGTTATTTTCCCCCATAAATAACATTGAAATCTGCATTATATTTATTAAAGCGACATAGATTTTGAGCAACTCAGATTACCTCCATCTACAATCAGCTTCATCTAAAAATTCTAAATTTTTCTTTTCCATATAACATCTACTTTATATTGTTTATCCATCAAAAAAAAAGATTGAGGTTGAAGCGTTTCAAGCTTTTAGTTTACTATGTATTTTGAGTAATAACTTCCTAACCAGTAATAACTATCTTCCTTATCTGTCTGAATCCCTGCTGCAGCAAATCACCCCTTCCCATATACTGTTTGGCCTAAAGGTCATGACTTCTCTTGTTCTGCATTGCTTGCCTACATTATGTTTCCCTGTAATCCTCAAGTCATGAGGAAAATTGTTCCTTTCTAGCAATCATTTTAAAACATGCTTCATTATGTAGGTGTAATAAACCTAAACAATACAATACTACTGTATTTTGAAAATAAGTCAGCTAAAGAAATTAGATACAGAAATTTCACCTCCAAACCGGCATCCGATTTGCAATACTTTTCTGATGACCTGAATCTCTTCCATCTCAGACAATTTACACTGCAAAGAGCACAAGACATGTAAATACCACCGCTCCTTCTGTCACAGCTCTGTCCCCCCCCGAGTCCCCTGCCAGCCCCGCTGACCCCCAAGGCCCTGACTGGGAGCCCAAGCCTCAGCACTGCTCCCCACCTGCCGCCCCCTTCCCCCACACATCTGCTGCTGCTTCCTCCTCTCAGACTTTCATGATGATGCTTTTGCAACTCATTAACTGCTAGCACCTACTACCACTTTTCCTCTAAGTTAGCTAAGGCAATCCCATCCTCTGTCTGTTTGAAAAAGCCCTAGGTATAACTTCTAACAAATGGATTGAACAACAACATGTTTTTAACAGGAAAATGCATCCAGTGAGTAAAGCATGCATGGTAACCCAAAACTCCTGTTCCTACAGCAGAGCACAAAGTCTAACACAGGTCTAGAGAATTAAGGAGGATGATATTTGTCAGTGGAGGTTTTTATTCCAAGTATTGGTTTATCTGTGCAATTACCATTCCACATTACTACTGCACAGAAAATATTGGACAAATAATCATTTGTCCCCCTCGCATACATTCCCATCTTTTCCTTAAGTCATTTTCCAGGCAGAAGGTCTTTTACGGGCAAGCAGAAGATTACTTGCTTCCCCAAAAGATAAAAATCATTCTGCCTAGGGAATTCACAGGTAGAATTTATCTTTTCAGGGGTTTGGGGACAGCAGCAGCAGAAGGGAGAGAATTCTTAGTTCCTTTAGTACTGTGTCATGGTTTAACCCCACTCATCAACTCAGCCCCACTCAGGAGCTCGCTCACTCCCCCTGGGTGGGATGGGTAGAGAATCACAAGAGTAAAAAAGTGAGAAAACTCATGGGTTGAGGTAAAGACAGTTGAATAGATAGAGCAAAACCTGCACACGCAAGCAAAGCAAAGCAAAACAAGGAGTTCATTCCCCGCTGCCCAAGGGCAGGCAGGATTTCAGACATCTCCGGGAAGGCCGGGCTCCATCACACAACGGTGACTTGGGAAGGCAAATCCCATCACTCTGAACGTCCCCCCTTCCTCCTCCTCCCCCCAGCTCTACACGCTGAGCATGAGGCCGCAGGGGCTGGGGTGTCCCTGGGGTCAGTGGGGGTCACTGTCCCGGCTGTGTGCCCCCCCAGCCACTCGCTGTGGGGTGGGGTGAGAGGCAGAAAACAAGGGAAACATCCCTGTGTTCCCAACACTGCTTTCAGCACAAATCCAAACCACAGCCCCACACCAGCTACTGAGATGAAAATTAACTCTAGCCCAGCCAAAACCAGCACATAATGCTATCTAATTATCAGGTTTTAGCTATGCTGATTTCCATTATACAGAAGAATTTAAGCAGAATACAGCAAGTTAATTTACCTGGCTCTAAATTCTATTATACGCCAAGATCTGTGAGCACAGCTGCAAGAAAGCAACAGAAGAAACAAAATAATAAGAAAAAAGAAAATATGCAAAGTATTTTTATGTACTTGAAGGACAATACCTTAAGTATATTATGGCACAACAAAAGCCTCACAATTCCAGACATCTTCCCCATACCACCACCCCCCCGCTAGCTGTAATTCCGTAAAAGATTTGTAAGCATGCATGTATTATCTAATATGATGAAGATTACATACTCAAACTGCAGCAGTACAAGTAGAGCAGTAGTTTAGTAAAAAAAGTAAAGTAGTTTTTGGAAGTAACTAAATAACCCTAATCAGTTTTATTAACTTGTTAAAATGACATTCTGGTTTTGTTTGTGGTGTTAACAAGTTATTTACGTTTTAAAAAGAATTTAGAAATGTCATCTACCAAGTAGCTCAACATATGATTATCTTAGTCGACAATCTACAGTTCACTACTCCCATTTAAGGTACATGCATCCAACGTCAAGCTACTGACAGTTCTCCTCTAATTAAAACCGTTATATATTCTAGTTACTTTATGATATTTCCATCAATGCAGTGACAGTACACAAAGCTGACAAACTATTTGCATAAAAAAAGGTTTCCTTCTAACCCTCTATAACATTAGAAATATGATTTCTTCAATGCAGTATTATTTAAGTTCATATGTGTAGTCAACATCAAGAAGGGTAAGAACTATTTCATGGATATACATTAGTTTCCTGAAATACCACGGAACATCATAGAATATCTTAACCAAAATTAGCATGAAATAAGGTGTTCTCAGTTTAAGATACTTAATAGACTGAAGAATTTGGATAGTAGATTTCACAAATGAAGTGATACAACTAGATTCTATGATGCAAGGATTTATCATTTTGTTCTACCAGAGCAGTAGGAGCCACCAGGCTGTGCCTGAACTTCACTCTGGAGAAGTGGGCTGATAAGTTCAAACTGCATTGGAAAGCGAGAAGCCACATCTGCTCAGTTCAGTTTCCTTTGCCACAATTTTAGTCACTTCTGTTGTCACTCAAAATGTTACTGTTCATTATTTGTTGAGATAAGTGACTGACAACGTAAAGCCATCTACATGCACAGTCAGATTATACCACAATTCCAGGCATCACCTATGAACTGGCACAACTGTAAACAAGCATATGCAAACAGTTGTCTTTGACAAGTACATTGAACAGATTCCTAAAGACACAGTTGGCAGTTTCTCCAAAAGCTACCTACAAATCTTCATTTAAGAGATAGTTACAGGCTGAGGGGGACGAAGGGGCAAGGAGACACCGTAACATTTCTACAGAAGATGACTTAACTCAAGATGCTGTGTTTGTAAGGTACATCTGTACGTTATCTAGAAGTGTTCTGCTAGTGGAGTAGTAAAATTGCAGTCAGCATCATTACCACAGTGCAAGCTACCAAAGCAAACAGTGATTTGACCAAAGCTAGAACACAACGAATAAAGCTATTCCTAGAGCATGTGTACTTTTACTAACTTCGTGCTCACTAGCAGTATCTGACAGGAGCTTGAACTCTTATCTGTTTAAATGGAGAGGCGTGTCAGGAATCTTGGATTCCAAAGCACCAACGCAAGTTAGCACACAGCAGATCAAGCCATCAAATCTAAAACCCACTGGGTTGTAAGATTCTTCCAAGATACTTTTTTCATAATGGATTTAAAAGGAGAGGTCTTAAGATGAAAGCTCTTTAAGTACTGAATCTTTTACTCAGAAAGTGGCTAACCCATTCACTAGAAGAAGCTTAAACTGTAGTATACCAAGTCAAATGAAGTTATCTTAAACTTCCATATAAATGCTGGGGTCAGGGGTGGGGGAAATCAATGGAAGTAACATAAATGTTCTCCTCAGAATTATTCCACACCAAGTATCATCAGAAAGTTACAGAAAGTTATTATTTGTCTCCTAAAAACACGACACACAGAACATGTGTTACTATTTCTTGGCTTTTATTGAGTGGTACTTGTTTTGTTTTTTTTTAAACAAAACCTTTCTACAAAATACTGCAGCTCTCAATCAAAAGATGATCAGCTTCAGATAAACTTTTTGTCTCAAATGCAATATAAACTACATTTTAGAATGGAAGAAAAATAAACATTTTCTTTAATTATTAAAGCAAATACAAGAATTCATAGAGTTTTAAAAGAATACTATCCCAAAAAATGCATAGAAAGGTTCACATGCACCTTTGTAATCAAGCTAGTCTTAAAGCTGAACAGTTACACATTAGAAGGGGAATAAAAATGTTAAGAATTCCAAATCCAGGAATTGGAACAAATTCAGGAGCACATGCATGACTTAGTTGAGTTCTGCATCAACACTGGCTAGTCTGTCCTGCTCAGGGTTGACCCTTGTCTTATTGTATAATAAACCTTCTGTAACAAGAGCTTCTCTTTCAGAATAGCACTATACTTCAAACAAATAACAATTAACATATTTAGAGACCTAGCCAAGTTTCAAGACAAGGCAACACTTCAGGTCACATTGACAGACAACATAATAGGTACCCTCCGGGAAGTTACAAAAAGTACAACTCATTAATGCAAGCATACTCCTCCTAAAACAAGGCAGGTCAATCCCTAAGTTAGGAACCTGTACATTTACGTGTGACATAAGTTAACTTAGTATTTGCTGCTGAAGCAAGACTCCAAATTGTTCAGGTTGCTTCCAGAAATGTTGGTTTTATTGCTGAGCACACTGTGTTTCACAAGTTGGCTTAGAAGATATGTACAACGTTGTATATTTTTTCTTTTGTGTTTCCTTCTCAGTCATGACTCTATTTTCTTTCTTATCTTCTTTTTCTGTAGTTTCAAATCTGGATTCAGCTGTTAACCTATAGGCAAAGCAACCATTCTAAATACATATTTTGTTAATAAAAAAGAAGGCTAATTAAGAGTTTTAAGCAAAATCAACAAGCCAACAGGCATACAAGACCATCCATAAGCAAAGACAGAGCAAGCAATGTTTAAAAATAAAATGAGACAAAATAAAGCATTTTGCTATGAGCACTACTCATATTTCATCACTTAAAGGACAGCCTTCCCACTCCCCACACCTCTTTATCTGCTGAAATGTTTGGTAAAAAGGGTTAGTGAATGTGTTGACTGGTTGGGATGTGTCAAAAAAACAAAAACAAAAACAAAAACAAAACAAAACAAAAAAAAACCAACAAAACAAAAACAACAAAAAGAATTGACTGTGCCATGCACCTAAAGGACATAAAGTCCACAAAAGCACAAGACCAAATGAAGAGTCCCAGAAACATAATACAAACATGATAAAGTCAAGCATTTTGCTTTAGCATCACCAAAAAAAGGACTACACTTAAAGCAAAATACTCATTTCCAACCTAGTTTGCACTACTACTGCCTTTATCTTAATGCTTGAATATTTGAAAAGAAGTTGCTGGAAAAAAACTGTTTTCAGTATTTAAATCCCATCATTTGTCTACTGACATGTTTTAATTCTGCTATGAATGTAAGTGGCAATAAAACTGCCACATCATTGTTAAGCAGTAAGTTAAACACAAGATTTAGACATCTGAGCACAATCAGATGTTTTGATTATTTAGGAATTACTTTGTAAACATACAAAAGTGTCATTAGAATAAATGGATAAATAGTGACATTCACTCAACTGAATCACCCACAACCAATTGATTAATACACACGATTGTTTCCACCGTAAAACCAATTATGGAAAATGAGGTTGCAAATGAAACATCACTTTACATACCAACACAAATTCTACACTGATTCATCACCACATCTGTTAAAACAATTCTCTAGTGACCTTGTGGATTTCTACTGGTCTCAAGAGCCTCCAGTGAACAACCCACAACAGTCTACAGCTGCTTTCAATGATGGTTTTCCAAACAAGAATGGATGCTACCCAATTGTTAGAAATTTATTTGCAATACAAAGATACAGCTGAAGATGAGGACTATGAAAGGAGCTGTAACATAAGAAGTTACAGCCCCACCCCTCAGTCTATTACACACAAATACAAACTATTCTTATCCACTGCAAGCAATCTGTGTATTATTTCCTATAGGAACTGTCTCAACAGATTAAGGAGAAATATGCTTTGCTGTGCATCTCCCCTAGGTCCACAGTGTTCACCATTTGCTATGTAGTAACTTCACACCTGTAATTCTGATGGCTAACCACTTGTCAATAGCCAGCTTTCCCCCAGCTGCCCTCCATTTTAGACGTGCTGGTACTCACAAGAAGCCTAATAATTAAGTGGTTACAACAAGAACCAATCATTAAGGCAAGGAGAAAAAGTGTATTCTTAGTACTCATCATCTTGTTAGTGTTTATTCTGCAGTTCAGTCTACACTTCCCTAGCAGCTCCAGTTAGGAATGGATAGTTTGTGTCTATGCGTCAGGTCCCATGGTAGATTCTCTTCATTTGTCCCTCTGCAATTCTGCCTTGAAACAACCTATGTCCAAGGCCACCAAAACCAGTAATCTAGTGGCCATATTTTCCAACAAGAATTCCCTATAAAAATACAGAACAAAGCAAGAACTCACACCAAAAAGACTAATAAAAATTGAATTATGTTCCAAAGCAGCACAATTGGATTTATACAAAACACTCCTCTTTTACAGTATTAGGTAACTTCATTAGTGTATACTGTAACAACTCTGGAAATCAAATTCACATCAAAAACACCACATTGTTTCATGTAAGTAAACAGATATTAGAATTTGTTATTTAAAGAAAAAAAATCATCTTATTACACTTCAAATGCACACAAAAATCTTTATGCAAGTCAGCATAAAGTCAGCTAACCTCCTCAGAGTACAACTATGTTAATTAAATATGTTACCTGAAGTAATTTATCTGAGGACTGACACTGACTTATGAATATGAAATTAATGAACCACTTGGTGTTAGTAACCTACACTTTTAAATTAGTTACGGCTTTTATTCAGATTAGCTGTACCTTGCCTCACTTCTAAAAACCATAGTTTACAGCAGTGAGGTATTCAGAAATGCCTGAAGGTTCAAATAATTGAGCTTTAATGTGATAATGAGCAAACAATCCAAGCAAATATTTTCTTCTTTCATTCGTTGTATCTTATAGTTGGCCTGCAAATGCTTCAGGACTGATTATTCTACAACCTTGAAGTTGTTAAACCATACTTTAATCACCAGACTGATCTAAATTATTTTAAAAAATACATGTTTTATTACTGTGTAATAGATCATGTCTACAGGCTGCTACATATAACAAGAAAAGGGACAAGCGAATGGGTTAGCAGATACCAAAGTTAACAGCTGAGCAGCATGTTCTGAAGTCAAGTCTCATGGACTTCAAAAACCAGCCAGTCCCTTCTTTAATTCTTTTCTAGCAACCTTTGTGATAACAAAGGAGCAGCAGAGAAAGTGTTATGAACTAACTGCAACCGCCATTCCCCATCCCGCAGTGCCACTCGATGAGGAGGAGGTAGAAGCTGGGAATGAAGGAGTGAAGTTGGGCCTGGGAAGAAGGGTTGGGGGGCAGGGGGACAGTGGTTTTCTTTCTCACTGTCCTACTATTGGCAATGAGTTAATCTTCCCCAAGCCAAGTCCTTTACCCATGACTAACTGATCCCTGTCTTTACCCGGCAGGCTTTTCCATCTTATTTTCTCCCCCACCCTGTTGGAGAGGTGGAGTGAGAGCAGCTGGGTGGGCATCTGGCAGCAAGTCCAAGGTAATCCACCAGCCCTTACACCAAGCCAGCTCAGAGACCAGCCCTTATAGCACCGTCATATTTCATCAAGTGTTAGTGCAGGGAAGTGGATGGATCACAAAGAAGAGCTGAGTTAATCACCTCCACTTAAAAAAAAACCGCTTGTGAAACTGTGACATGATTTTATTACGCTTTGACTTTGCAGACTCTAAAAAGATGTAATGGGGTTTCCTTCTACCCATTTAAGGAAGATCAACTGGTCTCATCAGATGGAGCTTTACTTTCTGAGGAAGAATGCCATGCCTAAAACCCCAAAGAGAGTATTTGTTATCTAGCTCTTCTGCTGAGCCAAATGGCTGTAGGCATTTGAACCAAATCCAAATGAGACAGATTTGGTATTTGTGATCCAAATAAATTATTTAAAAGAACAAATAAGCTCTCAGGCACACAAGCCCTTCTTTAGATCTAACTAAAGCAAACAACCACAAATCTAAATACAAATTAAGCTGGGCATCAAAGGCTGGATTTTGTTACTTCGGTTTCAGAAGTAAAGATAAGTATTTCAGTGCAGAAATACATCTTTTTGTTGATCAGCTGGCCTAACAGAAGGTATCACTACCTATAACCGTAACCTCTGCATTGCCTGAATTACAACAGCAATTAACTATTAATATTATTCACTTAAATATTTAATCTTTAGTCTCAACTAGTATGTTCTCAACACTCACATACCATAATCTAAATCAGTACTATCGCCTAATAGAAGTATTCCAACATTCACTTACTTTAAACTTTTCTAAGTATACACACACACACTGCAGGATACATACATGTGCTATTAGTTCAAAGTCATCTGGCTTTACCTAGCTAAATGCTATCAGCAATCAAGACTCTTCCAACAAACAAATCTGTCACCCATACAAGTACATACAGATCACTGCTGACCACTTCATTGCTTCCTAAGCTAAGATAACAAAGTTTTTCAAACACCATTTTCTAGAAATGAAGTTTGCAATCCTGTCATAGTTACTATGGCTCTTTTCATAGCCATATTCCATGGACCAATAATGACAGAACTAGATTAATTATTGCACAAAAACTACTCCAGTTACAAAAATAACCCCAATGACCACAATAGCCTTTTCAGCCAGAGCATCACATTTTACTTAATTCAGTGTTTCAGTTTGTGTTATCCACCATGCACAGGCCAATTATTTTTTCGTCCCTCAAACTTTCCATTTCCAGGTCCAGTACTGCTCCAGTTGCCAATATTCTTTGTGCATTTGCATTTAGCTGTATTCCTACATAGGGCTTGGACACATCCATCACAGAACAGTCCAGAGATTCTTTTAGTGTTTAGAAACCCAACTTCCCAAATACTCAGGATTTTATGACAACTTCGTATTTCATAATAGATCATAACAGATCAGGTTTAAGGAAATTCCCATTGTTATCTTAACAACATCATTAATTGAGAATTTGTCTGTTTATTAACAGAGTCAGAAACATGAACAGAACCTTCTGCTGGATTTGCCTTTTAGGAGGTTCATACTACCATTGAAAATACCTTAAAAGCTTATATAGCATTTTGTGGTGGTTTTTTGTTGTTGTGTGGGTGATTTTTTTAAAACTATTTATTTATGTTTTGTTCCTTATTTGAACCAAGAGCAATGGGTGCAAGATTAGAATCCTCCTTCTGAACTACGACTTCACCCTCCTCTTCCACTTTTTCCACTCGCTCTGTTTTCGAACATCAACTGCATAAAATAATTTCCTCTCCTCACTCCCTCTCCGGTAGGTTTACCCCTTCAGTTCACATAAACTGTTTCCAACAACTTCCTGCTGGCAGATACCACATCTTTCTTTCCAGAATATGAGGAAATAAGTTAAACTTTTCACACCCAGTAACATGCTATCTATTCCTTTATGTGTACAGAACACTGTCGAAACACAACACCATCACTGAATGATCCAATCTTTCCTATCAACTTTCACCACCCACCTTTGACCTCCCTGATATTTTCTCCTCAGTAACAGTCCCTGCATTTTGACATATCTAAACTGCTATTTCACTCATGTTCTTTCCAGACTGTTTCAGAAGATTGTACTGTTTGGTTACTTTCAATCTGTTAATTGCAGCCATTGTAAACTTGAAAAATTAATCCAAGAGTCAAAATAGCAATCCAATTACTTCCGAATGCCATTAATTTTTGCAATACTGTACAGATTTCCATGTGTTAGGCCTTCCTCCATCTTTGAGGCTGCTGTTGTCATTATAGATTCAATAAAGTATTTTTACAAGCAGACATTAGCAAGTTGTAAGCTCACCATATCTAGACTATCCCAGATCTTTTTTTCTCCCCCCAAACACATGTTTACGAAGATTGGGAATATGAGCAGAATACAAAAGCATCATCTGGGAAAAAAAACAACAGCATTCCTTTTACTGAGATAAAAAGGTTGCAGCTAATTACTGTTGTAAGTTACTCTGCAATCTATCAAGAAGTAACTTAAGTTCTCAGTTCAGGGGAAAAACTTCATCTTAACTTATCAGTTCTGTTTCTAATTATCATGCATCCAGATGAGGCAAGTCAAATGTCTGACAATCCAGATAGCATAATTATTCGTCTATTATCTCATACAATGCAAGTTCTATTAAGCCAATTCAGGCAAAGAATTTATTTAAATATTTTTTAAGCTTTTAGCTAAATCTAAAAGTTGATGAGGACTGAGATTCGCTATGAAACTGAAGCATGATACCGATTGCCTTTGTTACTTTGATATGTAACACAGGTGTGTGGCAGCTTTGAAGGGACCAAAAAAAGTCCTATTTCTGAAGTTAGAGCAAACGTAGCAGCCAAGCTGCCTGCACACCTTAGACATTTTCAAGAAATAGGGAAGTTATTTCAAAGATTGTTACAGCTTCAAGAGTCTTGTTCATTAGTCATCACTTTAGTCTTTCTAAAAGGTATTGAGAGGTTCAACGTAGGCAGCCGGAGCTGAGGAATTACACTGCATGCAACACTGAGGAAATAGATAAAGAAGTGGATAGCATAGTTCATGCAGCGAAAGAGAAGAGATGCAGGGCTGTGCCGGTTGCCTTGACCACAGACAGAAGCTGACACTGACCTGGGGGCAGCTGAAGTCAAGGAATTACTTCCACTTCTGCTATATGAAGTAAAGGCATCATGAGTCTCATCTTTCACTTTAACTCTCTTTCTTTCCCTTTCAGGTTCAACTACTTTTTGCACTGCTTGAAGAGCTGTATTTATTGGTGGTGCTTCAAGAGCAGGTTTTTTTGGAGAAACATCACTTTGCTCCACGTTCTTGGACGTCATCTTTGTTTCTTCCTTACTTGGCAATTGAGTGAGAGCACCTTCTTTTACTGAAGTATTTTTGCTGTCCAAGTACTCACAAGTAGCATCCACTGGAATCTTCTCCCTCTTCTTTTTATTTTTAGTACCCTGGCGTACTTCTAAGAAAAAAGGAATATATTTTCTGTACACAAGTGAAGCTGGAGTTAACTTATCCACCAACATGTTCATAATAAAACTAATAAAGAACATTTTGTGTGACTGAAGATCTTGGAATAATTCTTAATAGACAACTTATATCCCTCAAAGTATGTCCATTCATATAATCTGTTATAACCAAGTAAGCACCCCAATAAAAATTTGCTTGAAAAGGGAAATGAAAATATCTTTCTCCCCATCCACTCTACCTTTTTACCAAAGCCTTTAATTACATGCTCTGAACTCCATGAATATGCTCAGTTATTTTATTTCAATTTTCGAGGCTGTTGAGGTAAGCTTCCACAACTAATATTTTAAAATAAAATCCTCTGGGTACGGACAAGTACCAAAGCCAATTCACCCATCTGGTTCCCCCATTCTGCTTCCTACACAGGCTACAACTCCCTTGCTTCTGCACATACCCAGCTATCAACTGTTTTTCAGGTGGGCCTCTTTGTCAAAACTTAATCCATATTAATTTGAGCTACTGAACAGTTTTTCCTCTAAATGCTTTGCACTTGCTACAAGGCTCGTACCAGCTGCCTACATTCAGAAAGCTGGTACTTCTCATCAACTGAGAGATCCTGCTACCATTATGAAAGGCACCTCCTGTGAATTTGTTCCCACCTACTTCACTACGGTTATCTAGCTATACTCTGTAGAGCCTCTGAACACTGTAATTTGTACTCTTTAGTCTTATGAAATTAGTGTTAGTGTACCCATTGAAGTAAGGTCTTTGAGCAAGGTGGGGCTTAACTATTTCAGTTCAGCAGTTTTTGGACAGAGTTATTATCAGAAAGACGGCCATTTAAACATTATTTTATATCTGGAACTAACCCAATCTTAATGCCATTCAACTTGTGAAGGTCGAGAAGACCAGGTACTTATTTTTCTCTGTATGGAAAAGCAGTATTTACCTTCAGGTTCATATTTCATTTTTAGCTCATCCAGCATAACTCGCAAGTTCATATTCTCACTCTGACAAGCTTGCAATTGCCTCTCATTTGTGAAGAGTTTCCTTTCAACTTCCAGAACCCTTTGGCTCTCATAGAGAGCTTTCATCCTCTGCAAGGACAGTTCATTTTTCAATGTTTCAGTTTCCTTGCTAGGGTGGAAGAAAAGTTATAGTCACTCAGACTGCATTTCTTTTGTGGGTTTTTTTGTTTGTTTTTTGTTTTTTTTTGTAAAGCAGCAGATACAAAATCAACTAAGCATTCAGCAACTTCATATAACATTTGTATTTATACATTACTAGGAATCGAAAGAGACCTCTTCCAGTACAATGAAAGGTTTCACTTAAGCTTGAGGTACATCAGTGAATTTAGTTACCATGGAAAGAACAGCTTGATTTTTAACAAGCATATGCTGAACAATGCACATGTGCATACATAACTGATTTTAGAAACCTTCCCTACCCTACAAATTCACTATTTCATTGGGGGTTTTCTAGCTTGTGTATCAATTAATGTAACTATACTGTAACTCACATCACAAACTTTTCACAAAGGTGTCAATACGTGACCAACACCAAAATGATTATGTTAATACTCAGCACATGTCCTTGCCACTGTTTCAGAGGCCGTTAACTTCCACATCATAAGCACTGAATCACTGTTCCTCAGCAACCCTAAGGTACTCTGATCATGCTGGTTTCTCATAATAGCAACGGTGAGGTGATAGACTTCACAGCAGACCATTGCCTACCTGGTGGAAGTGCAATACTTTCATCTGAGTGCTTAAAAACAGTCCTGAGGTCAAACACTATGGACTGTCTAATTAATAGATACGGAATTCACTAGCCAAAGAACATATCGCAACTGAATAGTCCACTAAAATATTTCCATGTGTCCTGGTTGGGGCTGGAATAGAGTTCCTGTTTGTTTCAGTAGCTGGAGGAGTGCTGCAGCACAGAGACCCCAGGGGCTCCCCAGGTCCCAGTGCCCTCACCTGTGTGCGGGGGTGGGGGGAGCACAGCTGGAGGGCTGGGCCAGGATTGGCTGACACTCCATGTCATGTGACATTGTGCTCACTATATAAAGGCAGGAGAGGGCTGGGAGAGGCTCCCACTGCTGGGAGTGTGGCTGTGGGGCCTTTGTGTTTGGGATTGCTGGCTGGGAGCAGGTGGGTGTCGGTCAGCGGGTGGTGAGCAGCTGTATTGTACATTACCTGCTGATACTGCTGTCAGTGTATTATTCTGTTACTGTTATTAAACTGTTTTTATCTCAACCCACGAGTCTCCCTTTGCCCCTCCGATTCCCTCCCCATTCCCCAGTTGGGGGGAGGGTGGGTGAGCGGCTGTGTGGCATTTAGCTGCTGAGTAGGCTCAAACCACAACAGTTCTTTTTGGAGCCCAACGTGGGGCGCAAAGGGTTGAGATAATAACAGATTTCATCTGTGGGTACTATCAAGTTTGTTATAATGCTGACTGCCCATCCTGTTATAATGTCATTTGCTTGGCTCCTAAAATCGTGGTTTTTTGTTGCTGCAGTTGTGTTATACATCACATTACTTACCATATGTAGTCCCCATGTTGTTGCTTATTACCTGTGGGAATTGGATTAAGATTTTTGCCTTGCTGTATTATGTAACTCTAATTTATGGCATGATAAAATCTTCGGTCCTGGGAGTTATGGGGCACCTACTGGAGTGGGTTAGTAACTATACCCTACCCCTTTTCTCCTCAGAAAGCCCACCCAAGGGGGAGATACCTTCTTCCATCTTCCCCTTCTCCAAGCTACTTGCAAGTATACTTGACAATGCTGAGAACTCTGAATATCCATAGAATGCTCATATTAATGTTGTTGTCTTGTTTCTGGAAGCTGTAGTGTTCCTGAATGTGATTCAGGTTCTGTTTCGGGTTAAGCAACTGTTTCTGAATACCACCCAGAGGTCTACCCCAGGGTTGCAGAGTTATGAGTGGCTGGGAGTGTGGGGTAGCATGGGCAAGTACCTAGGACAGTGGGGACCTCCAATGTTTTGGAATTTCACCCCTGAACAAGTGCGGGATCCTGAGAAATTAGTAAAATATTTCGAAAAGGTGTGCTGTCATCCTGACACCTCAAGAGAGACGCAGATCATTGCAACATGCTGGGGCCTGGCCCATGCCTACCGAACCCTGCTTGCCACCATGCAGTATCCTCAAAAGGAAGATGTCTCGGCATCTGCGAGCAAAACAACTGGCACTGCAACCACTCTGACACCCCCACCAGGCACTGCAGCCACTCCAACTCGGGCGACTGACGCTGCAGCCAATCTGACCCCTACGATAAGTACTGCGGGTGAACTGGAGCATCAATCCACAACAGTATCAGTTGCTCCCATACAGAAGAAGAAATACACTAAAAAATCCCCTCGCATTATAAAAGATGATGATGAACCAGGGCCCTCACAAGAACAGGAGGAGGAGGCAGAGCCAGTGGTAATCACCCGATCTCTATCCCTGAGTGAACTACGAGACATGAGAAAGGATTTCAGCCGCCATCCAGGTGAACACCTCCTTACCTGGCTGCTCCAATGCTGGGATAGCGGGGCCAACAGTGTGGAATTAGAAGGTAGAGAAGCCAGGCAACTGGGATCCCTGTCCAGGGACACAGGCATTGACAAGATTATTGGAAGAAAGACACAAATGCTCAGCCTTTGGAGACGACTACTGTCAGGCGTGAGGGACAGATATCCCTTCAAGGAAGATCTTACATGTCATCTAAGTAAGTGGACTGCCATGGAGAGAGGCATCCAATACCTGAGGGAACTGGCTGTGCAGGAGATGGTTTATTATGACCCAGACTATGCGCGGCTACCCACAGACCCAGATGAAGTCCAGTGCATCCGTCCCACGTGGCGGAAGTTTATACGGAGTGCTCCATCATCACATTCGAATGCACTAGCAGTATTTGACTGGAGAGACGAAGAGGGACCAACTATGGATGACTTGGCTCGCCGACTCCGGCACTACAAAGAAAGTCTCTCTTCTTCCATCGTCGCGGCTGTGGAGAAACTGTCACAAGAAGTCCGACAACTCAAAGAGGACATGTCCTACTCTCCACCTCCACAGACTAAGGTCTCTGCTATCAGGAGCAAACGACTCCCTACTCAAGCGAGACGGTATACACCACGGGGGAACCTATGGTATTACCTGTGTGACCATGGAGAAGATATGAGGAAATGGGAAGGGAAACCCACCTACGTTCTAAGAGAGCGGGTCCGAGAGTTGGAAGGAAGAATGGCTACAAATCAAGGTTCTTCCAGGATAAGTGCTGCTCCAGTCTCAGCTAATCAGTTACCCAAACAGCGTAGAAGAATTGACTTTGCTCCTGATCCTATGAGGAGAACTTCTGAGTCGTACTTACAAGAAGTGAGTAACCAGGATGAGACCAAGGTTCGCACAGACCGCACTAACCCCTTCATCAACAATGGATACTATGAGCAGCATTAGAGAGGCCCTGCCTCCAGCCAGGTGGAGGAGAGGGACAATCGTGTTTACTGGACTGTGTGGATTCGATGGCCTGGCACATCTGACCCCCAGGAGTATAAGGCTTTGGTGGACACTGGTGCCCAGTGCACCCTGATGCTGTCAAATTTCCAAGGAACAGAGGCTATTTGTATCTCAGGAGTGACAGGAGGTTCTCAACAGCTGACTGTGTTGGAGGCTGAGGTGAGCCTAACTGGAAATGAGTGGCAAAGTCCCCCTGTTGTGACTGGCCTGGAAGCTCCCTGTATTCTTGGAATAGATTATCTCCGGAGAGGGTATTTTAAGGACCCAAAAGGGTACCGGTGGGCTTTTGGCATAGCTGCCTTGGAGACAGAAGAAATTAAACAGCTGTCCACTCTGCCAGGGCTCTCAGAGGATCCTTCTGCTGTGGGACTACTGAAGGTTGAAGAGCAACAGGTGCCGATTGCTACCACGACTGTGCACTGATGGCAATATCGCACCAACAGAGACTCTGTAGTTCCCATCCGCCAACTGATTCATCAGCTTGAGAGCCAAGGGGTGATCAGCAAGACTCGCTCACCCTTCAACAGCCCTATATGGCCAGTGGGGAAGTCTAATGGAGAGTGGAGACTGACAGTGGATTATCAGGGCCTGAATGAAGTCACACCACCGTTAAGTGCTGCTGTGCCAGACATGCTGCAGCTTCAGTATGAATTGGAGTCAAAGGCAGCCAAGTGGTACGCCACCATTGATATCGCCAATGCCTTTTTCTCCATCCCTCTGGCAGCAGAATGCAGGCCACAGTTTGCTTTCACCTGGAGGGGTGTCCAATACACCTGGAACAGACTGCCCCAGGGGTGGAAACACAGTCCCACTATTTGCCATGGACTGATCCACACTGCACTGGAACAGGGTGAAGCTCCAGAACATTTACAATACATTGATGACATCATTATATGGGGGAATACAGCAGAAGAGGTTTTTGAGAAGGGAGAGAAAATAGTTAAAATTCTTTTGAGAGCTGACTTTGCCATAAAACGGGGTAAAGTCAAGGGCCCTGCACAGGAGATTCAGTTTTTAGGAATCAAATGGCAGGATGGACGTCGTCAGATTCCAATGGATGTGATTAATAAAATAACAGCTATGTCTCCACCAACCAGCAGAAAGGAAGTACAAGCTTTCTTAGGTGTGATAGGCTTCTGGAGAATGCATATTCCAAATTACAGTCAGATCGTAAGCCCTCTTTATCAAGTGACCCGAAAGAAAAATGACTTTTTATGGGGCCCTGAACAAAAGCAAGCTTTTAAACAAATTAAACAAGAAATCGTTTATGCTGTAGTCCTTGGGCCAGTTCGGGCAGGACATGATGTTAAAAATGTGCTCTACACTGCGGCCAGGGAGAATGGCCCTACCTGGAGTCTTTGGCAGAGGGCACCAGGGGAGACCCGGGGTTGACCCCTGGGATTCTGGAGTTTGAGGATATAGACGATCTGAAGCCCGTTATACTCCAACTGAAAAAGAGATACTGGCAGTATATGAAGGGGTCTGAGCTGCTTCAGAAGTAATTGGTACAGAAGCACAGCTCCTCTTGGCACCCCGACTGCCGGTACTGGGCTGGATGTTCAAAGGGAAGGTCCCCTCAACACATCATGCAACTGATGCTACATGGAGTAAGTGGGTTGCGCTCATCACACAGCTCGAATAGGAAACGCCAACAGCCCAGGAATACTAGAAGTAATTACAAATTGGCCAGAGAACAAAGACTTTGGAATGTCACCAGAGGAAGAGGTGACCCGAGCTGAAGAGGCACTGCCATATAATGAGCTACCGGATAATGAGGAGCGCTATGCCTTATTTACCGATGGGTCCTGTCGCATTGTAGGGAAACATTGGAAGTGGAAGGCTGCTGTGTGGAGCCCCACATGACAGGTCGCAGAAGCTGTTGAAGGAGAGGGTGAATCCAGTCAATTTGCAGAAGTGAAAGCCATCCAGCTGGCCTTAAGTATTGCTGAGCAAGAAAAATGGCCAGTCCTTTATCTCTACACTGACTCATGGATGGTGGCAAATGCCCTGTGGGGGTGGTTGCGGCAGTGGGAACAGAGTGGCTGGCAGCGTAGAGGCAAACCCATCTGGGCTGCTGATTTGTGGCAAGATATTGCTGCTCAAATAGAGAACTTGGTTGTGAAAGTACGCCACGTAGATGCTCATATACCCAAAAATCGAGCAACGGAAGAACATGAAAACAACCACCAGGTGGGCCAGGCTGCAAAGATTAAGGTGGCCCAAGTAGATCTGGACTGGCAGCATAAGGGTGAAAAATTTATGGCTCCTTGGGCCCATGACTCCTCTGGCCATCAAGGAAGAGACGCAACATACAGATGGGCTCGTGACCGAGGGGTGGACCTAACTATGGACATTATATCACAGGTTATCCATGAATGTGAGACATGTGCTGCAATCAGGCAGGCCAAGCGGTTAAAACCTCTTTGGTATGGAGGGAGATGGTTAAAGTATAGATATGGGGAGGCCTGGCAGATGGATTACATCACGCTCCCACAAACTCGGCATGGTAAGCGTTATGTGCTCACAATGGTAGATGCAACTACCGGATGGCTGGAAACATATGCTGTGCCCCATGCCACTGCTCAGAACACTATTCTGGGCCTTGAAAAACAAGTCCTGTGGCGGCGTGGCACCCCAGATAGAATTGAGTCAGATAATGGTACTCATCTTCGAAATAATCTTATAAACACCTGGGCAAAAGAACATGGCATTGAGTGGATATATCGTATCCCCTATCATGCCCCAGCCTCCAGGAAAATTGAGCGGTATAATGAGTTACTAAAGACCATGCTGAGAGCAATGGGAGGCAGAACTTTTAAGCATTGGGACACACATTTAGCAAAGGCCACCTGGTTAGTCAATACTAGAGGATCTGCCAACCAGGCTGGCCCTGCGCAGTCGAACATTCTGCATATTGTAGATGGAGACAGAGTCCCGGTAGTGCACCCTAAAAACATGCTGGGGAAGACCATCTGGGTTATACCTCCTTCAGGTAAAGGTAAGCCCATATGTGGGATCACCTTTGCCCAAGGACCCGGGTGCACTTGGTGGGTAATGCAGAAGGACAAGGAAGTCCAATGTGTATCTCAAGGGGACTTAATGTTAGGTGAAAATAGCCAATAAGCTGTATTAGATTAGTCACCACACCACCCTACCACTGCTTTGTTATGGCAAACATGAATGTGGATGAAAATAGGACTGGTTCCAGCAACTGATGCCCAGCGACTGCTGCAGACTGTGAATACAGACACCATCAGATGCATCAGCTCCAGCTGCAACAGAGACTGCATGCCATCCTCCTGTCAGGTCCAAGGACACCTCTGCCCTACTGACTGAGCATTGCTCCTCCTGCCTGAAGGGGCTGTTATGACAGATGGAACCTGAAGCTATGGACCAAGTCAACTCATGATACATCCTGCAATGATGGACCATGGACTGAGGGAATGACATCTGTATGCGTATGTCTTTGACCAAGGAAGAGGATTGTAAATAACAATGTATTAGAAATATGGAACGTGAGCATAATGTAAAATGATATGGAATAAGGGGTGGATACTGTCCTGGTTCAGGCTGGAATAGAGTTCCTGTTTGTTTCAGTAGCTGGAGGAGTGCTGCAGCACAGAGACCCCAGGGGCTCCCCAGGTCCCAGTGCCCTCACCTGTGTGCGGGGGTGGGGGGAGCACAGCTGGAGGGCTGGGCCAGGATTGGCTGATAGTCCATGTCATGTGACATTGTGCCTACTATATAAAGGCAGGAGAGGGCTGGGAGAGGCTGCCACTGCTGGGAGTGTGGCTGTGGGGCCTTTGTGTTTGGGATCGCTGGCTGGGAGCAGGCGGGTGGTGAGCAGCTGTATTGTACATTACCTGCTGATACTGCTGTCAGTGTATTTATTCTGTTACTGTTATTAAACTGTTTTTATCTCAACCCACGAGTCTCCCTTTGCCCCTCTGATTCCCTCCCCATTCCCCAGTTGGGGGGAGGGGTGGGTGAGCGGCTGTGTGGCATTTAGCTGCTGAGTAGGCTCAAACCACAACACCATGTTATTATCCTGCCCTATGTACAAGAGAAACAAATATATACAGCCTAGAGACTTTAAGAAGCTTCATACAGTTCCCTTACAGGTTAGTTTTTGGGTTTTGGTTTTTTTTTTTTTTTTTGTTGTTTTAACATCTCAATTACCTAGTATCTAGGAGTATTAACAACATTTCTAGTGGAAAACAACAGTAGTATAAAATAGTTCTGTTGCTATCTTTTACAACAGTAAGTAAAATGACAAACAAAACTCAGTCCTGTAATGGAGATAGGATGGTTCCACAACATTAGAAAACGAGACAATGAGCACATTTGCACATACAATCAGTGGACTAAATACAAAAAGTAACAAAAAAAGGGAGAATAAAACCAAGTAGCTAGAAGATACTTAGACTACAACCAACCTCTAGGTCTCAGAGCGTTAAGTACCTACTTTGAGTTGTCAAGTTTCATTTGCAGTAAATCTGCATAGTAGCCATCTTCAGATTCTCCACCTTTTGAGCTACTACTAGCTCTGGATTCTTCCATATTCTCATATAAAGTCTGATAAAGAAAAAAAGTCAGGTTGTCAAATAGTGACCATTCAGAAGCACATTGGCTTAGTTCTTACATAAAGTTGCCATGTATTTCTATGGGGAAGCCTCATCATAGAGGTATTCAAAGATAGAAAAGAACTCAGTTGCTCTGAGTACTTCCTCATTTGTTACAAATGTCAAATAGCACCGAAAATGACAGTTTTCTTTCATTCACTGAGAAAAATAAAAAAGCAAGTTATCTCAACTCCAGAAGGTTTTCGAGTGCCATTGCAGTAGAGCTATCTTCCTTCTTACTTGAAAATACAGGATATTTAGTTAACCCACAGGGAATTTGCTTCAGCCTTTACTTCTAAACTTCAGCAGCTAGACACCAAAGGAATATACACCATGTTAATTATAGCCACAGTCTCAAAATCAATCACTTCTTTTAGATGAGAAAGTCAGTTCATAGTAAAGATGACATAAATGGAATGACTTTTCTATAAAATACATCAGTTACAGATGACATTCTGAGGTTTTTGTGTTTCTTTCTGAATAAGCAGCTCAGATTTACTAGGTTTCTGTCAGTCACTGACTACAGGTTCTTTTGATGGTTACTTGAATCAAACATTTAATTTCCTGACACTGCTTATTTGTGGCAGAGACAAAACTAAACACTGATCAAGCTCATACATGAAAAACTGGTAAAGCAATCAAGCTGTCTTAATTGCTTACTAAAATGGGTTAAGCCTAGCTTTATGTCACTTTGGTTAATGCAGAGTAGTATATGCCATCCCAGAAAGCTTAATCCTAACACATCAGCTAGAACACCTAAGTTTACCTTCCAAAGCTATAAGAAAGGGCCAAAGTATGTAAGAAAGGCTGCAGTTTTTCACTCTGTATACACACAAATGTCTGTAACATTACAAGTGCATACAAGATGTTCTCACGTATTTTTCACTTTGCAAAATATTGACAAGATGCTATCAAGCTGCATAAGAGGACTGAATAAATCGTTTTGCAAGGATGATTAAGCAATTCTGTTTTCCTAGAAAAGGGCATACTTCAGCTGCAAAGTTAGGACACATTAAGGAAATAAATATCCAAGAAATGCAATAAAGCTGACAGACTAAGAAGTGATAAAGCCTAAATACACACAATACAAATGCAAAATGGTTATGTCTTCCAAGAGAAATATCACATGTCGCAGCTCAGTAACTGTGACCAATAATTGAATTTAAACACTACAGGTAACTATGTAAAATATGAAGGTGCTACACAGAGGAACACAGACAAGACATTCTCCAAACAAGGGACTGAGTAGTATAGCATTTTCTGCTTCTCTGAATATCAGAACTGTATGTTCTCCAGCTATAAAATGGAACTTTGGTCAAATAAAGGTAGGAGTAGCCTCTGGATCCCTTTCCAGCCTGAGCATGGACTTCAGGTAGTTTTCATAAATCTTCTTATTCTTATATTTTAGCTTTTCATTATGACTTTTCCACTTAATTATAGACCACATACCTTAAATTTCTCTAGCTGCCTTACTTTCATAAGAAGGTCTTCTATCTCACCGTTCTTTTGTTCTAACATCGACTGTAAGCGTTCCAACTGCTCAAATTCTCCCTGAGAGCCTTTCATCTGTAGCAGTGTAGCCATCTGCAGCTGGGAAAAATGGAGAAAAAATAATCTTTACAACAAGTACTGTGTTAAGTGACTGAAAATCTCAGCCTCTTACCCAGAACAGTTAGGGTACTCCAGTTTTGTAATTCTAATCCTGAATATAGAAGTGCACTGGATGCTTAAACTCCGTAGTCTTCACAACATAGTCTTCACAATTATCTCAATAGGTTGACACTAAACATCTTTAGGACAGCTAAAAACTTACTGAACGAAGCGTTCCTGAGGTGTCATATCATTCTCCATAATGACTAAGGAACCTATAAATACACTGTCAAGGGGAAACACAACATTCCACATTCAAACCATAAACACCAAGTAAGCTAGAACCAAGCTACAGGCCAGGCTTGTTTATCCGAGCTAAACTACATCTATCAAGAACTTATCACTTCAGAAAAAGCACTCTATAGTTCATCAACAAGTTTAATAACCCCTCTTTTGAATTACTGATTGGGAGTTATAGATAACATTAAATTTTCTTTCTGTAATATTAATCCAAAAAATTCAGCTGCTTCTACTCCTTCAGTGGAACACATCCTTTGAAGCAAAGCAACACCCTTTGCCTTTACAAAAGGAGAAGTATGTCAAAGAAAAGTCTTGCATTTATACACATTTTTCTGATGCTGTTAACATACTATCATAGTACAAGGGCATTAAAGCATTCAGTTACAAGTGATACATCAGACATCTAAACAACTGGAGAAATAATATGAAATGCAATAATGGAAAGACTTAACAGGGCGTTAGTGGTAACTGCAGCATTTTTACCAGTCTAGTAAGTATGGATAAGGTAACACTGTAGGACACCTGGAGAAATCACAGGGAAAGGATCAACTGAAACAAATTAGATTGCAGATTAAGAAAGGAAGTGAGAGAAGAGCTTTTACCCTACAGAGTCTCCTATGTCAAGTAAAGGGTATTGATGATTGTGTACACAAACTAGAGCTAAAGGAAGAGTCAATCATGTCCTTATAGCTTCTACTAGACACAAGTTTTTGGCAAAAGTTCAACCCCCACTGGCTGACTACAACTATCCTTACATTTCCCAAGCCTGTAGACACTCAACCTTTTCTCCTTTCACTTAAAAGCCCATTTGCTAACTGTCAGAATTGCAAGTCACAGATGATCTACATGAAAATCAAGAACAGAAACATTAATAAACTGGAAGGGATACTGTGGGCTGTAGAAAACACACCGGATAGAGAAAAACTTCCAGAGGAGTACTTGTTACATTCTGTTCAGGAGTCAGATCTTCAGAAGCCATCAGTGAATACCTACCACATTCAGACATTCCGACAACTAAAGCTGCAACAATAGTTAACTATACCATGGCAATCAGGTGCTAAATGAAGAGCTCAGTTAACCATAGACTGAGCTTTTATACACAGCATCACAATGCAACACAAAGCAGAGAAGACCCTAACAGGGATCTAAGATGGCAGCTTAAACAGAACAGCTGTCTTAACAATCTATCTCCACTATTAATACTGGAAGAAATTTTTTGGGTACATACCAAGTACATATTGAAATTCTAAATAAAAAGATTAAATAATAGAATAGGGATACCAATATGCCTCAGTTCTAGTCAAAATCTTCATTATTTGGAATGTTTCCTGTACCATTCTTTCAGATGACTGATCTATGCCTCCAGATTACAAAGGGAAAATTTCTGAAGAAACTGATGGTATTCAATCATTTTACTCAAATCTTTAGCTCTCAAGGTCAGATTTTAGTAAAGGAGAATTTCTTTGCTGCATCTGTAGCTCTTTTATTGTTCTTTAAGAAAGTTCTTTCAATTATTTTCAACCTACTTCTCCACAAAAGTTAGGCAACACAAACCTGTACCTTCAGCGTTGCCCATTATCATCATTCTCGATGTTTGAGCACTCTCCTCAAAATGCATGATCAAGCATTTTATCAAACGTAAGGATCCACTCTTGCATTGGAAACTCAGAAGACCAACACAAAAGCAGTGGCAGTTTTGCAGCATCCCCTTCACATTATCTTGGAAATCAGCTTTTGCTAATTAATTCTTAATAGTATTAACCAACAGGCTCCCATTCTATAGAAGCATACTCTAAATCAAATAACTTTTGTCATAAATTATTCTTGCCCTACTATGGACAAGCAGAAAAAATACGGATGAACAAAAACAAGAAAGCAACCCAGAGGGAAAAAAAACCAGAACAGGGTGATCAGAAGACAGAGTACAAGCCTGCCGTTTTCTTTACATTCAACTAACAAAAAGAGTTAATACACAAATAAATGGATTTCTGTTGTATAAGAATTAGATAAGGAAAAGCAACTGTCAAGACAAATCGAGTGCTAGTTTGACTGACAGGAATTGTGTTATACTTTTGTCCATTTAACAGCTACTGCCAAAGTCATCAAACATAGCGCCTTCAGTATAACTTAGGGTTCTAGGATAAAGAAAAATGCTGATATACTGGAGAAATCAAATAGCACGATGACATATCACTTGTTACTTTCTCTCATTTCCCTCCCCCCAAACTCATATTTTGAAGACAGTCAAATCCCCTAGCCTGTGTACTAAAGCATTGCCGTCTTAGACCCCAAAGAAATCCTGGAGTATTACAGTAATGGTCATACCTTCATTCTCTGCAACTGTTCTCTAGTGAATACATGCTGTTTCTGTAGTGACTGATATTTTATTTTCACACTGATCAGCTGTCGTTCCATTTCTGCCCTACGGTCCTCCACCTACAGAACATTGTTAACAATTATTACTATGAAAATTATAACATCATTTGTCACTTTAATGATGAGTTTTACAAGATGTTGCCTAGCAACTGACCTTGGTTTCATAAATACTGCTTTTCCAGCAATAGTACTTGAAAATATGTGCTATTGTCATCATGTCAGAGACAAAAGTGAGTAGACTGCTGTAGCAGCTGAAGTCCAATCAGTGAAGTGCAACAGATTTTTCTTTTGTTCTTCTGATATCAAAATTAAGTAACATTTCACATACTTCAGTGTTGCTGTAGAATTATTTTGTCCATTGGCATCAGAACAAATAGTTTAAAATATGAACCATGTACCAATTTAACCCATTCCCTGGGTGTTGTTAGAAAACAAAGTAACTTCCTATGCATTTAACAGCAGCTGAACTCTTACTCAAAAACTTATTTCAAAATCCTCCCAAATGCTCAAGCATCCAGCCATTTTCAGCATGTTTGTGAAACACATCTTTTAATCAGCATCTTTTAATATTTCACATACAATTCTCTGCATTAAAGAAGACTTAGCAGCTGAACAAAACTACTTAGAGCTAGGTAAGAGCTGCAGACAGGAATGTCATGAACCCTCAGTCCCATCTTTTATCTTGATAGCCAGGTAACTTTAAGTGATTCCATTAAGTTTACTAACTTCTCAACTTCAGAGTGTGCACAGAAATTGTTTTTCATAGATCAGTTCGTATACAGTTCAACACTGAAGTAGTACTTGAGGAATACAGATTCATGCTGGCCAGATCAGGTACAGATACTCTAATATTTTCAATGCAATTTAAGAATAAAACTTAGGAAGTATTTCTTCTCTTCTGTGTATATTCTCAGTTATCTGTGTCAGAATTGTACCTCAGCAAAGAGAGAATTGCCTTTACTTGTAGGGTCCAAAGATTGCTGCACTGCATGATCCAGCTGAACCTGAAGCTCCTGATTAGCTTCACGAGCTTTCTAGATTAAAGCAAAGAGGATTTTAGTCATTTAAGCATGCGATGTACTGCGTATATGAATTTAATCAGATAGTTTTACCTCCTTTAAATTTCCTATGCCTTTAGTACACATTGTATTATCCCGCAGTACTTAACTATGTATACAGTTCTAGTCAGTCAGAGACAATCAATTTTGTTTCACTAAAAGGCTTAATATTCCACTTGTTCTTCAGGACAAAAGCACAACTAAAACCTTTAAAGGAAAATTCTGATGTTTAGCAACTAGATTGCTGGTATTGAGACTATTAGCCTTGCTGTGCTATTTAGTCACAAATCCTCTACTCCCCAGCACAAAACTTTCCAAGGCATTCAGTAGGAACTTGAAACAAGTAAGAAGGTCCTGTTATGAGGCAGTGTACTGCAATGCAAAGGATCTCCACACACAGCCTTCCACAAAAGAACGCCAATATAAACAGTATTTAGCAACAGGTAACACGAAACATGACTAGCCAACACCCTTTTGTTTTTTCCCTCTGCCTTCTTTTTCCCTCTCTCCTCAGAACTCCTCTCTCAAAACTCCTATTTCACTGAAAAACTAGCAGCACAACTTGTAGAATTCAGGGATTATCTACCACTGTTGAATAGAATTAAGAGAATACCTCTAATGCATTACAATAAGAAACAACTTCTTTTTCTCTCTCTTCTTTTTCTCCTTGTAGACGCTCCAGTTGATTACGTAAGTTATGGTTTATAAGTTCTAATTGTTCTTTACTGTACTGCATTTCATTCAGCTGTTCTTCAACACTGGCCTAAACAAAACAACAAAAAAAAAATGAAGTATGAAATAAAAAGTTTAAAACAATTTGCAGAAAAGCAGGCCCAAGTGAATGAAACAGGTTAGGAGTAATTACTTTTAATACAAAATATTCAAAGGACATTGTATTGCAGTCTAGTTAAGGCTAGTCATTTTTTTCTGTGCATACTGTATTAATAGTAAGCTAATCATAAGGTAGCAATATATATGAAACATCTAAAAATTAAATGAGCAGAAGTACAGAATTTTATCTTCAACTAGCCCACATTCCTAATAATTAAGTACTAGTCACAGACCTTCACGCTTTCAAGTTCAGTGAGTTCCATCTGAAGATTCAGCATTTCTGAGGACATGGTCTCATGTACACGTTCAGACATCATATGTAGTTCTTCTGATTTGGCAGCAATTATTTCCTTCTGATGATCCACTTTATGCTTCAGCTGTTTCTCTGACAGTCGCGTTTCATCTAGTTCTGCTTTCAGGTTCTCCAACTTAAAGACAGTTGACAACTAAGTAGTACCATTTTATGGTGAATTCTTGAAAAGAACAATACTTTTGATGCTGCTCTACTTCCAGAAAATGTCTTAGAAATACAACTTAAGAGTAAACTTTTAAAAATAAACTTTGAAATTTTATGTAATTCACAATGTAACTATGAAGATGTTTGTTAAACAACCAAACAAGCTCCTGTACAGTGTAACTATTTACTAGATTTGTTTTGGTATTAAGTGTGCAATTACAAGTTAATTATGTATTCTTTAAAATACTAATTTTTAGCTGTATATTAGTTGCCAAACCTTGTTTTTGAGGTCGCTGATTTCTTGTCCATAGAATCTGGCAAGCTGTTCTTTCTGTTTATCTAGTTGCATGTTTTGCTGTTGCTTAAAGGAATCACATTCAGAACTCAAGGTTTCCAACATTCGATTCTTGAGTTCAATGTCTCTCTGAAGAGAGTATTTCTCTTGCTCAAATTTCTGAAAGAAATAACATACTAATAAATCTAGAAGTAATATTCGTAAATGATGGGGAACAACAGATGAAATGCAGGCTCAGAACCAAGATATTAAATGCCTAAAACTTGTAGATCATTCAACCTTTTGTTGAAGTCCCAGTTAAGGAACTGTCATACCTATGTTTTAAAAAATTACAAAAACAGACCTCCCAAAAGCCCCCCAAAAACCACTCTAAATTTTTATGACTTATTTGGTTGTGTAATATTCTCTTCTTCATGGAAACTGTGTATTTCTTTGCACCCAACATGAACGATGTGGCATCTTTTCTGCAAGTGTAACAAAGAAATTTAGTGAGAGGTTGCATGTCCTTCCTACCACCATGCAACCCCATTATATTAAATATTGTTACAGTCCATCAAGTGTTCCTATACTGAAAAACAGCTGGGTTCAATGTTTGGTAAAGACATCTAAATTGTCTATCGTTTTGTAATAAATCTCATCAACCCTTCCAGAATGAAGAATGACTTTGTAATCAGCTACCATCTATGTCTGATTACATGTTTGCAAATTATAAAGGGCAGCTTCATTTTACTCTTCCATGAGCTAGCAATTAAGAAAAAAAAAAAAAAAAAAAAAAAAAAAAAAAAAAAAAGGAGTCTTGGAAGCAGAAAAGGTAAATCAAGGACAGGCTTAGCTCTCAAATATATAGGACAAGAGTTGTAACTCAAAGATAAAGACAGAGCACAGAAAAGGTTTGGGAATGCACTGCTGGTCAGATCTAAGAAAGGCAAAAATTTAGAGTATGTCTATACAGACTTTTACAGAAGTATACACCCATTCTTCTGAAAGACTCTTGTGCCTACTGTTAAAACTTACACTTGGGTTCACAGTAACTGCTCTGGCTCACAGATTCCAAAGAGAAACACAGATTCAAAAGCTCAGAAGACTCCATTGGATAACCACAGATCCCACACAAAATGTTATTCTACTGTACGAAAGCACACAATTCTTTCCCTCCGCCCTTGGAATATAAGTTACTAACTGATCCTGTTTACACAAGCTCGTAACTTTGCTCCAGCCTATAACACAGGATTACAACCTGTGCATGCAGCTTCAAAACACAGTAGCCACCATCTCAGCTTTTCTGAGCTGTAGAGAAATGTACTAATAAATTCAGACTCCCCTGGTATTTAGAAAATTTGAGAACCTCACTACAGAAGAAATCAATTTTACAGTCTTGCAGCTAGCTTTCTTTTTACTGCTTTAAGCAAAACAAAGCTTGTAGGGAGAGCATAACACGCATGAATTGCTAAACATACCCAAAATACATGTCCTAAACCAAATTTACTTTAGCAATTAGTATTCATTTTACATTAAAGACAATTAATCCTACATGGTACTGAACACTTGATGCATAATTAGCTATGAAACCCTGTCCCAGCGAGATAAAATTACATTCAATATCTTACAGAAGAGATAAAAAGACCTCTCTACAGATACTTAAAACTTATATAAAATTAATCTAGATTCTAAAAAGCATTTAAAAAAACTGTGACATTCAGAAAATAATTAAAATAAAACAGAGTTCTTCACTGCTCTTTTTTTTACTCAAAGTTTAAAACATCACCTCAGTTTTCTCAGTCAATTCACAACGCATTTGATCCAACTGATTTTGAACTTCACTTTGGGACTCCAATAAATGCAATCCATATTGTGCCGCCTTTCTTCGCTCATTTTCTGCTTCCTTGAGTTGTTGTCTAAGACTTAAAATGGTCTCTGTCTCCATTTTTCTTCCTTTTGTTACTTCAATACTACAAACACAAAATGATTAAAAAATGTATTACAGCAAGTCACAACAGTTAAGCTGAAAGATGTTACTGCATTTCCCTTCTTAATCAGGATACAAGGATATATTTTTTTGCATTAATACAAGACACAGAAAGGATAGCTCACACGCCATCAGCCGTGTGAACAGTAAAATAATAGCTCTTTCTCCACACATTTAGTTCGCATTTTATTCCCAACTATGTCTCAAGCAAGAGCATGCAGCAAAATAATTGTGTACCCAGACTGGTTTCCTAGCACACTAGAACCCGAGTTAATGTAGTATATAGCTACCTTGCCATATGCAAGAGAATGCTAGGAAATAACCTTGTAAAAACACTTTTAGGCATATGGCTGTTGATATTTTCTGTGGCACTGTAAGTAAAGCCACACTAAGTATAGCATTTCTTGTGTACACAAATAACACTTAAGATTCATGTAGGCAGCTGTATTAGCAGGATAGTTTACTCCTAATAACATTATGTGAGATATTGAAACAGATAAAGGTAGATAAAGGAAATAGTCAAATAGAAACTCTGTTAAAATTTATGGAATTTTAACATGGGGATTTTTATTATTTATTAGGGTTTAAAGGCATATTTCATGACTGTTTTTCATTTTAAACTTAAGTCACTGCAGGTAACCTATTTGTTAATAACCAATCCTCTGTCACATGTTTCCGAAAATTCATCCCTTTCTATCTTTGTATCACAACAGTAAAGGTGAACTTTGCAAAAAGTTAGGCAAAGTAAATCCAAAGAAACAAAATAATTTAAAAAAATAAAAATCAAGTCAAAGGAACACCATAAACTTGTATGACTGTTTGCTCCCAAATCTACTAAATCTGCACACTGAAAAAAAATCCTAGTAAGACAGAAAATGCAAAGAAACTCAGGCTCCCGAACAACGTAAGCCGTGAGTTCTCTCACAAAGTATGCAGTAACAATGATATATACTAATACAGAAAAATCTGCAGATGATTTTCCAAAGCTAGGGTTCATAATTGTCATATAATTTCAAGATTAAAGTAAATCTTCATTGAAGATCTTATTCTGTGCTTTTTCTTTTAACAAACAATTTAGTTGTTGCCATTTCTTACCGGAACATATATTATTCTTATGAATATTTGCAAGATGCTGGTCTTAAGAGCAAATTTCAGAGCTCAATACAGGAGTGATTATTTTTAAGAGTCATTATTGTAATATCCAGCCTTCACTTTTTTTTGGCTAACTTTTAGCCGACACAGGTAGCTCCACTAGGAGCTTCCTATAGAAGAAAGGAAAAAAAAAAAAATTTAATACGCAAAAGTCTGTCATGCCAAAACTGTGCTAGTTCCTTTCAGATGTACAAGACAGAAATTATCAAATTGTTTTTCACATTTTCCATCACTTGCTGTTGATACTCTGTTTAACACATACAAAGAGACTGTCCAGCTGGGCTCTGAAACTTCAGTTTTTCACTTCTAACCATGGCAACACTAGAAATACTAGTTTTGCACAATTATGCTAAAATAAGCCAGTTAGAGACAGGACTTTTGCATAACTATAACTAAGAATCAACCATATTACTAGTGGACAGACATGCACGCTGTGTACAACTTACTAATGAGATGTTCAGCTGTAAGATGTAGCTATACAAGCACATAGGCAACCACTCCTGGCATGCATTTACATTAGTAAATGGATTAATCCTTATTCACTTCATAAACAGAATTTTAAAAATAGTTTTATTTAGAATTTTAAAAATAGCTTTATCAAGCAACAGAATAGAGGCAACATAGTAATTTCATTGCTCCCAGCTTACTATATTAAATTTGAGTAACATTTTTCACTCGCCTTCATAAGTCCATTGAAATCTTTCTTGACCTTATTCTTGTACTCCACCTTTAAGAGGAAAAAAAAAAAATGAGCAACAGTTGTCTAGTCCTGATGAGTATAAACTGCAATTATAGCACAGCCCTTCATAGCAGTCCTTTTCTGAAAAGGCTTAACGCCTTTGGCTGTCTCATGAAAATGCAGATCACAAGCTAAAACCCCACAGAAATGCAAATCTTATTCAAATCTCAGTTGAGCCAGCTGTCAGATAGTTTAAAAACAGTCAAATCAGGCAATGTTGCCAAAGGAAAGATGCTCTGCAATTGGCTTGTGGGGCAAGTAAACAGGCTACATCCAGGGTCATCTTCTAGAACACATATCTTTAAGGGTTATTTGGGGAATTTTGTCTTGCTCCCTTCTACTTCTTCAATCTCTTCTGCATGCTCTCCTCCAGTTTCACCTGTAAGATCTTTGAGTACTTAAATAATTTACTGGATAATATTAAAAAGACCTTAAGCTTTTTTTTATTTTTCTAGTTGAAATATAAAAGAGAAATAGGTTTCCTATTCACCCATTTCTTGTCAACTATTAGGGAAAACAGCAAGCTTGCCTTTCAGAGCACAGACACCCTCAACTTTTCATTGTCAACTTTGGATTAAGTTCACAGGACAAGTCCAGGTAGCTTTGTACATATTACTGTATTGTTATATAGAGAAGTAATTGCCTGCAATTTAATATTATATGAGAGGGTAAGTAACCTACCCTGAAAATAATGTTTTAAGATTAATTAAATAGGTGGTAAGGCAAGCAGGTAGGAGGGGAAATAACAGAAATCAGCCTTCATTTATTCTACTGAGAGTTACAAGAGTTACTCACTTTTGTTTAATTATCTTCAAACATTTTATGGTGCATTCTGTACTGAGGGCTCTGGACCTTGATTATTCAACCATTTAAGTACTCCTTCATGAAAATAATAACATAGGAAATAAAAAAAAAAGCACTCTCCTGTCATGCAAACTTTCTTCTCCTACTCAGCAACTGTTCTTCCAGTTAAACTGCTATTCCCAAGGGTCATATGTAAAAGTCATCTATGTTCTTTCTATTCAGAAGTACCTACAGAGCTTTCTGATCACTAACAAAATTAGCAAGATTGTTCCTCTCCCTTAAGCCACATAGTCCCCTTACAATTCAATTCAGTTATCTAAACAAGTCCCTTTCTTCACCTACCAAGCCGCACACTCAAGCTGAAATACTTTCAGCACTAATCACTTTCCCACAAAACACATTCTTCGGTGGATAAGTACAACAGGAAAAAAAAAAAACAAAAAACAAAAAAACAAAAAAAACAACACAACAACAAATAAAAAAACAACCCAGACTACAGCGTGATCTTTCGGTCACTAGGAATTACTCGGCAAGTTAGCACCTGGCTCTGGGAGCACTTTGTTAGCACTTCAGTGTAGGGCAACGCTTAATCTGTCTGTCCGTGCAGGCCGTGACCCCGCTGCAGCTCAGGCCGGTCGCTGCCGGCCAGGCTGCGGGGCCACCTGCGCGCCCCGCTCCGCACCCCGCCACCCGAAATCGCCCCCCACCCCTACTCTCATAATCACGGGCCAAAAAGGCGGAGAGGCAGAGGATTCCCCCTCTCCTCCACTCGACGCAGCACCTCGGGGGGCCGCAGGAGGGGAAGCGGCCTTTCCCCCTTGAGGGGGAGGCAGCGGCAGCGCGACCCCGAGGGGAAGGGCCTGAGGGCCACTGCGCCCCAGGCACTGCCCCGCCAAAGGAGGGCGGGCAGGAGCTCTCCCCTCGGCCCCGCCGCTCGAAAGCGCACCACCCCCCCCCCCCCCCCCCCCCCACACACACACACACACACACACACACACCCCCCCACCGCGGACACGAGGCGGCGGCGGCCCCTCAGCGCCCACCTCCGCACTACCTGCGCCCACCCGCCGCCGCTCCCGCAGTTCAAACTCGGCTCCGCCCCAAGTCTCGCGAGAGTCCCGCGCACCCCCGCCCGCTCCTTTCCCGCGGTGCCGCCAGCTCGCGGCGGAGAGCGGCGCATGCGCCTGGGCGCGAGGCGGGGCGCCGGTGCTGAGGGGAGCGGCCGCCTCAGCCACTCTTCTTCGTTGTAAAGAATAATTGGTCTTCTGAGCTCGGTACGGTGTGAAGGAGCGGTGCAGGTGATGCCGGCGTGGAAGAGTGTTTGTGCGGGGGCCACAGGAAGTTTTCCACAAAGAAGGGAAGGCAATAGCCTTAGCTGCTCAGCGCTAGTTCTCCCGCCCTACCTGTCCCTAGCAGAGCGGACTGCAGTGTGAGGGATATGCTTGGCTCCAGAGCCCCAGGCAGTGCCACCTCGCTCAAAAAAAGCACACAGAGTAAGTGTTAAGAGTCGAAGTGTACAGAGTGCTCTGTATTATCTAGGAAACCTGCCATGTAGAGGAGCAATCTGCTCCCTGCTCCTCCCATGCAGTATTCTGCAGGGGAGTTCTTGGTTTTGATAGTAGAATACCATCTCTGGTTTATCTCACCACTCACTTCCCATCAAGGGAATCCCCTTCCTCAGCAGGGACCACTGAGGCTGCCTACTCCTGAAGAAGTGTAGGCATCTCAATCAAACCTTTCCTTAGATTCTATGGAACTTACTGTCCAAACTTGAGAGCTACACAGCAAGCTATAGTTCTTGTAGCATAGCTATCAACTCAACTTCTAACTTCCTATTTTTCTCCTTAGCTTGCTCTAGTTCCTACTCTTGACTTGCTGCACAAGGGAAGAGTCCCAGGGTGGGATTTCATTGTGTTAGATTGTCCAGAATTCATAGATTCCCTAAACCAGTGAAGTTCTGAACAATATTCACAAAGAAGAGCAAAATTCATCATCTGGAGTATTTCACCATGTGGTTCTGATGGTTATTTGAGAGTCCACACGCAGTTGTCCATGTACCATTTTCTCTGCCCCAAAAGAAAACCTCAATAATTTTTACCCTTTAAGCAGTGGTCAAACTTCTGTTCTGCAAGATAAATATATCTTTGCACTTTGTCTAACCACATCAATAAGTGTGAAAGGTTTATTCTTATATTTAATGTGACATATCTGGCAAAAAACACTGCATAGAAATATACAAAAGCAAATTCTGCCTTTAAAGAAACACACTTCAAGTAATCCAAGGTTAAATTCAAGGAACAGGCTGTAAGTAGATGCAAGGATAACAATCCTATTTGGAGCATCTAGGACAGAAATAGATGTTAGACAAAAGGAGCTTGGAAAATATGCTATAGTGTAAAATTCTACAAAGGAAGCCAATAAAACTACTATGACTTCTATCAAAATGATATTACTTTTCTATCAAAAAGTGAGTCTAGCTTTTGTCAGTAGAAATGGGATTAAAAATTAAGTACAAAATGTTCTCAACTGGCAAGAATGCCAAGTTGATTAAAACAGGGACTGGAAACAAGAGAATCCTGTTGTAATCCTGATTCTGCTGCATTCACTATGCGATTAACCATTCCAAATATCCAAAGTTTAAACTCCCTTGTTTTAAAACAAGGATAACAGTCACCTAAATAACAAATCCATATAATTCTCCTGACAGTTATTTGAGTACATGTTGGAAAAATATAAAAAACACTGTAAATACTAAGTATTAACATGATTGCTCCACCAGATCAGTTATCCGCCATAGCATTCTAAATCATAAAACAGTTAAAATAGCTGCTGCTTCCCTCTGCCTTAAGTTCCACAGTCATGTATAACAGTTGATGTTTAATACATTAAATAGGTTAGCAAAGTCCATAATACTTTCCTCAGCTTAGAATTTCCATTTATGCCTTTAAAACAGAGTTAGGAACTTAACCAATTCATTATTTAAAACATGCCATTACCTTCCAGATACTGTTTTACAGATCACATCTATTTCTTGTGGATATAAAATGTATGCATCAGTTGTTAATAACTTGTTAGCAATATGAACTCGACAATTGGAGTGACCATTTTGTCCGAATGCTACAAGAATATTCACCTTCACCGGTGTTATAATATCTAGTAGCTACATAATACCACTATTTACAGTTTACTACATGCCTTGAGTTCTTCTTGAATTTCTTGAGTTGGACTTAGCTTTGAAGCTAGATTTTATTTTGAGAGGTTGTAGAAGAGCATAGGATGACAAGGTCATTAAGTCCATCATTTGTAGTAAATTTGGCTTTATGGAGACAAATATTGTCAGACTTAACTATAAGAAAACTCTTACTTTTCATGTTTCTTTTCAGCTTAGGTGTTAATTAGCCTCTAGGTTGCCACTGTAACTATATATTTGGTCTTAGAAATTTTTCTCCTGCTTATGACCTCAATAACAGCTATTTTCCTATAGAGATCCTACAAATCCAGTAGTTACTGAAGCATTGAAGTTTCCTAAGCATGCAGTTTGTATATTTTAATTTATTGACCTTTTAGATCACTAAACTTAATTAATTCTGTGCACTGCTGACCCTGTGTAAAAATCTAAATGTGTGTTTTGTAAATCTTATCTCTGCTAGCAAACAAGATTTAGTTACAAGTAATAGAGTACTTACAGCAAGTAGATGTGTTGGGATTTTCCACCCCCCCACCCCCGAAAAGGAGGCTTGTTGCCTTTATCTACATAAAACCGGGTGACATGAAAAAGTCCTCTTATTCTTTCCCTGCTAATTGCTCAGTGTAACATATGAACTGACAAATATTTTACTAGCTGTGCTTCATATCCCAAATGCTATGTGAACTAAGTGAGTAATAGCAGCCTATTGAGAAGCAACTGATTACTAGCTACACAAGTCATTTGGGCACAAGAGATCCAGAATTCAGTATAATGAATACCTGTAGAAGCATTAGGAAGTTTTGTTATTTGGGGTTTTTTCTTGGTTGGTGGGTGTGTTTTTTTGTTTTCTTTTGTTTGTTTGGTTTTGGTTTTATTTTTTTTTTTTCACATGTTCTTGCCCTTCATGATTTAAGAACAACACATTTTGCACAATTTAAAGCCATGTTACTTTATTTGCTAGTGCAACTTCATAAAAGCCCAGGTTTACCCCCTTCCACATTTTTCAGTTGGCAAACATTAAACAGTTCTGCTTGTTTTGCGATAAGGCACTTTCACCTTCAATTAAATAGAGTTTACAAGTCTACATGTTTTAATTTTTCATTGTGAATTCCAAGAGCAGTAATACTAATACCTAACTTATTTTTCAAGGAACTCAAGTAGCTCAGTGATTACAGCAAGAGCTTCAGAGCCAGTAACATACTGTTTCTAATCCTCTCTAAACTATTAGTGACTGACCTCATCCAAATCACTTCATCTCACTATTTCAACCATCTTAGCTAAACAAAGACCCTTTTTGCATTTTTCTTACTAATCTAACCTTAGCTCGCCTTCTGTGGCCTCGCATGATTACTTAGCAAAATCCATCAATTAAGTGTGAGAGTCTCTTTCAAATACAAACTTTCAGATACCCCCTTATGAAAATTTCCCATTACTTCTTTTTCAGATTTGTTACATTTTTTACTACTTGCTTGAATGGGTCAGGAGCCTCACAAGAAATTCTCTGGATTTATGTAATCAAAGGGCCCAATTATGAAAACATACGCTCTTCAGTGTATAAATTCAGAGCCATGCTACAGTGGAAATTTACATACAAGATAACAGTACAAGTTTTATGATATTATCTTCACAAAGTTGGGCTTTTTTGTTTGTTTACACATGGTAGCTCAAGAGATCAGTCAATTCCATAAGAAGTTTACCACTTCAACATGTAGTATAATCTAGAGTGTACTATAACTCAATTTTTTCCTTCTCTAAGCAGAACCTAAATGAATCAATTTAACTCCACATCCAGTATAAATTCAAATTCCCATTTTTATCAATCTGTAATTTAATGGTGATTTAAAACCGCACTGCTTTTTCCACACATTATGAATTTAATTAGTTGACAACAGTTTTCAACCTTTTGCACATAATATATGGTTAATTCAGTATTTAAATGCTGCTCTCTATTATGAAAGAATCTTAGTAACAGCAACAGATCAGTACTTAAAAGCCATATGTTGTGATACAGAAATGTATGTACAGATACCATCACGAACACTGCTAATTGTACAGCTATTTTTTTCTTTCATATACTCACAAACAGCAAAACTCCCTTCCTGCAGTCATATTTCTTTTAACAGCTCTGCTGTCGTGGTAGTTAATATTCCTCGGGTTCTCCTAACCACATAACTTTCTGCAACCCAGATTCTTCTTCCTTCAAAATTAAAGAGAAATAGTGCGGGGAGCTGTATAACACCACCCCCCCTTCCCGGCTGCCTACCCAGCTGCCGTAAATCACCAGCACCACCTTGTGGGTATCTCGCTTAATTACTGCTTCCTTCTTTAACTGGCGGTCTCCTGCCGTTGTAGTTTTCTTTCTGATAATCAGACAAGTATTATGAGAAGTAGGTAACAGATATTAAATAATAATGAGACAGTGTTATTTAATAAAGTGATATAGCTTCACTTTGGTAAAAGATATCTTTCAAATTAGTTTACGTGCCTGCTTTTTTTTTTTTTTTTCAGTAAATAGTTGGATAGGGTAATAATCTTTAATTTTGATTAAATTTAATTTTATACAGATCACAAGGACATAATTTTAGCGCTGTTAATGTGCATTTCTAATCAAATGAATAAAAAAGTTTAATCAGCCTTGGAAGCTGGAGGTCATTAGCGTTTTCACCATGAAAACCACTTTAACTTTCACCTGGACCTCATTTCAGGACTACAATGAAACATTTTCACTTTCCCCAGAGATACAGCAATTTAAATGTTTTGCACAAGTAAGTATAAAAATCAAAGGAAATTATTTTTTTCTTTTTTTTCTTTAACTTTTGATGTTGGCAATATGTAGTGTTTATTGATGTAAAATATGTTAAGCTGTAAATTTTTTCCTATCCGGTTATTCTTGCACAGTGTTTCAAAA